AGAGAGAGAGAGAGAGAGAGAGACAAAGAGAGAGACAAAGAGAGAGACAAAGAGAGAGAAAGCGAGAAACAAGAATGTATGAGTGTGTATGTGCGTGTATGTGTGTGCGCGCACGTCTGTGAGTGAGTGTGTGTGTGTGTGTGTGTGTGTGTGTGTGTGTGTGTGTGTGTGTGTGTTCGTGTGGCATGTGTGCTTGAGTCTTTTCTGACTTCTAGTAGTGTATCGGTTCCCGTGAATTTTCAACAAAGAGTCGGACGGAGCCAAACGTAACGTTTTTTCCAACTTAAAACAAGCCGGGTCTATGGGCCTTGGAGTAACTATCCAAGCTATGGGCAGACTGCCTACTGTCTACCTGTCCCCGTTGGATTATGGGATTTTGCGGCCGCGGTTTTTCGCGTAATTCTGCAAGATTTGCCTAATTTTGGATTCCCCGCGGTTCTTTTTTCCACAAAACAATTAACGCATCGCCATGTGACTAAAGGGAAGTAGTCACCGTAATAAGTCTTATCTACGTGACAACTTGGTTATTTCCCTTGTTAGAAGATCTTGTTTATGGGTTGGGATTTTGTTCCTTGAGCATGTTCAATTTTTAAATCCATCAAAAGTTGTTCTCATACAATGTACAAGTGTGGTGATGTTTCATGTTTGACAGGTGTCCCTGGTTTTAGTTATGTGCCAGCATCAGAGGTCCAGATGTCCTTTTTTTTAAAAATTACATTTTTCTTTCTTCTATTACTATTAGTAGATTTAGATAGATCTACAGCTGAAAGTTACAGAGATTATATTTTTGGGTTGTTGTTTTTTCTGACTGATGTGTAGTTTTCCTTCCAAATACACAACAAATTACTGGATACTGATATGTTCTGTTTTCAATTTTTTCTGTATAAAAAACATGAAAATCATATGAAAATTCTTGTTGAAAAAGTGCAAAACATGTCACCAATGGTGTTACGGTAACTTGCATAATTTTTGAATAATTTTGCTTTTTTTTCATGTATTTGGCCATCTAAATTTGCATAATTCTACGGGGACAGTACTACATGTATATATATTGTTGCCTCTATTTCCGAGACCATCTGTTGTGTGGCGTGAGGGCAAAGATTCTTTACTAGAGACACTGTAGTAGAGAATCTTTGGTGTGGGTGCAAAAATTGCCGCAAAGGCGCAATGCCTGTACATGTACAAAGTTAATTAGGGAAATGTGTGTTATAGTTATACATGTACAAGGATTTTCCAACC